GTGTGTGTGTGTGTGTGTGTGTGTGTGTGTGTTGAGGGGGCTGGGCCAGCCGCACAGCTGCCTCCTGGCATGGCAGTGTTTGTCTGCCCGTTTCCAAAGCAGTCAGCATGCGCATTGTGGCTCTTGCCCAGAGGCTGGGAATGATGGTATAGTTGGGAGCTGGGAGGAGGCACTGCTCAGGGAGGGAGGCCCAGCACCTCTTTGATGCGTTGGGTGGTACTGGGTCTGCCAGTACCACGGGTGGCAGCCCCTGCTGCCACTCAGGGGAAGTTTCCACAGAGCATGAGGCCTCTTATGCAAGAGAGGCAGAGAACGATCCAAAGGGAGGCAACTCCGGGGTCCCATGAGGAAGACCCTTCTGGAAAGGCATGGGAGGAGAGCCCCTGGGCTCCGTCTGGGATTAGGGTGGTTCTTGCCACAGCACAGCCAAAGAACCTCAGGTCTAGTGAGTGACTGCTGCCGGAGCACTGGCTCCCTACCTCTGGCCCCTGCCACTGCCCCACACACTGTGGCTCTTCCTCTGGGCCATGCACTCCAGCTTCACCGATCACGGGTAGAGCACAGAGTGGCGAGGAGCACTGGCTCTGGAGGCAGACTGCGCGGGGTCACATCCCAGCTCTACCACTTGCTAGCTGTGTGACCTCAGGCAAGTCACTTAACCCCTCTGCCCTTTGGTTTCTTCATCTGTATGCTGGAGATGATGATAGTTCCTGCCCAAAGGACCGTGAGGAGTATGAGTTACTATAAAGTTCTTGAATCTGTAATATCATCAAGGGAGTTGGGGTAGGCCCTCTGGCTCTGGCAGTTTACCATCAAGGGGTGGCCCACGAGCTAGAATCTAATACAGGAATGTGCAGGGACATAGCTGGAGACTTGGTCCATTGGCTTAGTCCCTCCATCCCAAGAGGTCCCCACCCTTAGGAGAGGGAGGCTAGTACCCACCTTCTGGGAATCCCTCCAGTTCTAGCTCGGGCCAATGGTCTGGAGCTCTGAGCAGCTGCTGAGAAATGACTTTTTTTTTCTCCCCTGCCCCAACCCTTTCAGGGTTGCTGAGAAGGAACCCATCAACAAAATGTCCCTTCACAACCTGGCTACTGTGTTTGGCCCCACGTTACTGAGACCCTCAGAAGTGGAGAGCAAAGCACACCTCACGTCGGCTGCAGACATCTGGTCCCATGATGTCATGGCACAGGTACCGCCAGCACCGCCCGGAACTGGAATGGTAGAGGCGGGCGACAAGCTTCCCCTGGGGGGCGGGGAGAACAGCTCAGAGTCCCACACCCCTTCCCTCCTTAGCAGCGGGGTAGGTGGTCTGCGGAATGTCACCAGGGAGGCAGGGCTCGGGACCAGCATGACAAAAAAAAGGCTGAGCCTAGACCAGGGGCCCAGACGGGCTCAGGGGCACAGGTAACATCCAGGGGTCTCGTCCTCATGTGTGGAAGCTCTAGGATTGCTTCTAGGGTCGGAAGCTTCCCTGGAATCCCTACAAGATTCAGGGCAGAGTCCAGTCTGGAGACAGGGCTGCCCAGTCAAAGCCAACCTATGGAGCAGGTTGGAAGCTTCTGACTGAGGTTGGGGAAGTGACCCCAGGCTCCCTGACCCTCTGCCCTGCAGTGCCCTCTGCTGCTGCCAATAGGCAGGCACAGCTGGGCTTCCAGGGAGGCGAAGCGGCCTGAGGGCAGGGAGGGGAGCGGCACAGAGGTGACCCCAGCACAGGGACCGTTTCTTCTCAACAGATCAGAAGGCTGGGAGGACGGGGACCCAGCCTGAGTCTTCCCTGTCCCCCCACAGGTCCAGGTCCTCCTCTACTACCTGCAGCACCCCCCCATTTCCTTCGCAGAACTGAAGCGGAACACACTGTACTTCTCTACCGATGTGTAGCCCAAGGTGGGATCAGCTGTGGGGGTGGCCCGAGCCAGCCCCTCCAGCCGGGGGACCCAACACAGACTTGAAAGACTACAAGAGAAAACTCCCAAACCCAGCACTCCAGACTCCAAGGGACACAGATTTCCAAGAACTGGAATATGTGCATCTTTCGTGCCACCTTGTACAAAGCCAGCTGACCCAGCCCCCAGCCTCACCACCATGCCCCGGGCCCCGCCCTCTGTACCTCTAGTTGTGTCTAATGCCCCGTGCTGTTCAGGAATTGTTTTATGTCTATTTGTCATGCAGAAATGGTAGTGACCGACCCAGTATGGGCATACAGACAGCCTGCTTTGTTCTTTCATTTCCTCCAACACTTTCTTTCCTCCCGAGTCCAGTCCAAGGGCTTTTATTTTGCGCTCTGTAACCACTGCCAGCTTATCCTCTCTTGGCCCTGCTCCCAGATTGCAGTCTCCTGGCAGCCTCTCCTCGGGTTTCCTCCACCCTCTGCTTCCTCCCAGCCTGCCCACATGCATGTGCAGCCTTGGTTTTTGCTCCATCACTTTGAAAGTTGAGACCCCGGGTGGCAGTGGCGGTGGTGGCTTGTCAAAGGCTGCCGCTTGCTGCCCTCCGCCCCCAGCCTTTTCCTTGTCCTCTACCTGTGGAAGCACACCTGCTTTGCCTTGCTGCCTGTGCAAATGTTGGACAAGGGGACAGACTCACACTAATCCTCAGCTTAGCACAGAGCTGGAGAGCAGATTTCTGGAATTTTCCACCTGACAATCTCCATTTCTGGGGTTTATCTGTTCTGTCTCCTGCCTACTTTCACTGAGGCATCTTTCACTGTTTCTTCTGCTTTTCAGTTCCTTTTCCCCTGGTGTTCTATTTCCTTTGAGTGTAGAGACTCAGAAGTGACCCAATATTAAGAGAGCCGGAGGGTCAGGAATCAGGGGAGGCGGGAGGCGGGCCACTGAGGAAACAAGACAGGTTGAACATTTGGAGGGGTGCCATGTAGCACCAGGTGCCCCGAGTTGGGGGGAAGTGGCTCTCAGCAACAAGGAATTATAGTGGCTTTTGTAGTGGAGCCAGGTCTCTAGGGGGGCAACTAATATGGCTGAAGCAGGTATCTAGAAACACGCAGGCTCCATCCAGGAGGCAGTCCTTCCTGGCGCCTCTCGTACCTTGCGGTACCTTTGCCTTAGATTTTACACATCCTCCACAGCCAAGCACTGCCACAGGGCAGCCCCCGAGGCCGTGTGTCCCCCAGAGCCTAGGAAACACAGGCAGGGTCCAGGTCCAGCAGTAGCCAGTCATCCTGGTGCTGCCTCCCCACCCCACCCACAGCTTCTAGATGCAGCCTTTTGGGTGAACTCTAGGCAACTCCAGAAGTGGGGAGGAATGAGGAGTCATGGGCAGCTGCCTCTTTTGGGACTGGGATTTGCTGGGGACTTTCATTGTTGACACTCTTCCCCAGAGCAGAGGATCAGCAGGTTCTGTTCCCAGCTCGGAGACCCCTTTCTCCACACTGAAGGGACTGAGAGGTATCTCCTCCCACCTGAGCAGTAGCTACCGGCATGTGGCAGGTGGCTTCGGAGAACACTCCTAGGCTTGAGCTGTAGTACACGGCTCTCTGGCTCCATGTGGCAGAGAAGTAGAGAACGGTTCCCTTAGATTGTGCTCAGGGCGGAGTTTTAAGGAAGGGTTTGCTGGACCTAAAGGTAGAACGTTTGCTCAGTGAGAGGCAGGGAGGGCCCTTTCTGATCTTGTTTACACCTGTTGCCCAATCTTGGGCAGAACGGTACACATTCTGTGCACATCAGAGGAAAGAAATGCCTAACAGGAGGGAAATACATAGCTGCCTGTTAGCGGTTCAGCAAGGAGCCCTGCTCCCTGGGACAGGAGATGGAGAAAGAACACCATTTGAGTTTAAAGATCCCAGCTTGTGACCATCCCAGGAGTCTCTGCACTCAGGAGTTGGTGTAGGGCATGGAAGGCTTCTGCTTCCAAAAGCCATTAATTAATGGTAATGAACTGGAGGACCAGTTAGAGCTAGTTACAGCCAAAAAATGGGTGCCTCCCACTTCCCTGAAACAAGAGACATTTGCTTCTCAGCATCAGGTAGCCACCAGACCCCCCAAACTTGCTTAAGCAACTTGAGAACCGAAGGGAAAGCTGCAGGGGCTGAGGAATGCAAAAGACTCAGAATATTTATAAATTCCACCCCCAGGGTGGGGAGGGGCAGGTACCAGACATGGACTAAGTTGCATCAAGGAAGTAGCCCATGGGTTCTCCTGAGAGGGACCGTGCAGCCCAGAATCCCCAGCTACTGTGCCCAGCCGGGCAGGCTGTGCCAACAGGAGCCCAGCTGACAGGCTGCAGGAATCCCAGTATGCCCATCCCTGCTGGCAATGGCTGTGGGCGGCCAGTTTTTGCTGATACAGGTAGGATGGGAACCTTCATTAATATTTCACTTTAAGTTGGTAAGGATATATTTTTTTTGGTCTATGTTCTGTTTCAACTTATGTAGATTATTATAAATTGATGTAAACCACGTGAGAGGAAAATGTTAATAAAAAAAATGCAAAGCCCCAACATTTGCACACAACCCAGCCCTGTGGTGTGGACATTTGTATACTCAGTAGTCCAGGGAAGACCACCAATCTAAACATTTTAACTCCTCCAGCTGCATCCAGATGGGAGCTCCCAGGAATCTGTGCACCTAGTCAACTTCCCTTGAGCTTCCCTTCAGCCTACAGGGACTGTGGCACCTTGGGGGGAGGTGAGCCCAGCCCCCTCTGTGTGCTTCACAGAGGTCTCAGGTCAGTCACTAACCAGTTCCTTTCATGAAAGACAAAGGTCCCAACAACCTGGACATCAGTGTACCTCCGATAGATGGCAGAAAGTTGTCCATCCCAGGGGAGTTTTCTTATTTTATGTAAACTCTTCTCTACATTTTCCTTGGAAGTGGGCGTCTTTGGGGCAGCCTTTTGGCCTAGTCTGATTGTTGGAGAGGCTGGATTCTCTAGGGGGCCCCGCCTCCCTTTAGGAGAGCCAGTAGGGTTAATATAGGTTCCTACCAGCCTAAGCCATTGGACACTATGTTTATTCTGGAGATCAGGAACAGATGTCTCTGAAAATTGGTGTTTGGTTTATGAGCTCATACTGACTCCTTAGCCATCTAAAACAGGAAACTATTCATCTCCTTTCTTGATTGAATAGTCAATGTGGACAATGCTTGGCTTATTGAAGTGATGGCTACTGACAGCCTAGGGCTCATCTGTCCAAGGCAGTCATGAAAGTAGCATTTCTTGTCCTCATTTGGCATATCTGACCCTACTTTCTGGACCGGCTGGTAGATGCCAGGTATCACAGCTGCCAGGTAGGAGTGTCTGTTCTTGCTCTCAAAGTGCTTATAGGTGACATATTTAGGGACTGTATAGGAAACACTCTTTTGTTCCCAGACCTCTGAGGATACTCCAGCTGGCCTAGGGGCAATGAAGTCTCACACCTGTGAGACTGGATGGGATATTATATAGAATTCACCACATAAGGACAGGAATGCGCTGGCTCACACTCATTGCAAAGGAAACCGCATGCATAGCCAGAGGAAGGTGTTGCCAACTGAGTTGGACATTATCACTCATGTACACACTCACACTTGGGGCATCTGGACACGTCAGCTGAGTGAATTCTGGTTAAGGGTGGGTGAGCTAGAAGACAGCAGAAGGGGGGAAAGAAAGCAAAGAAAAAAGATGAAGAAGTTAGAGTGCAGTAGAAAACAGGAGGCGTTACTGCTGGCTGAAGGCGGCTGGAATTATACAACCCCACAAAGCCTACCTGCCTGCCCCCAAGTGGCAGAGCCTGAGCTCATCACCTTCATGTCATCACTGAAGCACCGGAGTAAAGAAGGTCTCAGGGCAGATCCCAACCAAAAGCCTATTTTCTTTTGCCCCAGGGCACACAATTAGGATGAGCTTCTGTTGTCAGAAAAAGGCCACTAGATCAAATAAAAAACACTAAGATGTTAAAATACATATACACAAACCCAAAAAACCCTGATACCAGAGAATGAGCGTAGTGGTGAACAGCCGATCTTCACCAGCAGCTGCTGTGACTTAGCAGGACCACAGCGGGACCCTGCGCACGTTGTGTCCTTGAGCTGGGCCTGGTCCAGCGGTCAGAGCCTAAAACCAACATGGCTCGGACTGCTGGCCTTCCCACCAGGCGGCCTATGGGGTTTTTAGAAGAGGCCAGGGCTTATGCGTGGAATTCTGATGCATCCTGGGCCACGGCTAGGCTGGGCTTCCTGGAGGGCAGGCCCTGGCTGAAGTAACAAACTCAGAAAACACTCCTCTGCAAACCCTGAGAATCAAATGTACCCAGACGCTCAGGCGCTTTCTCAACCTCTGGGCTACCTGGCACCATTTTTGGGAATTGTGAAATTTGAAAATAAAAATAAACCACCTTTTATTTATTCATTTATTTTATGGTTTGAACGGCCTTTATTATTTATAATGGGAAGTGGAAGAGGAGGGGACAAGACAGCTCCGGCTCCAGGGGCAGAACCAAAGACTCACTCTGTCATTATCCCCCCTCCGCCGCCCCAAAACTAACCAACCTTTTAAACTGTCATATAATTTTTTTAAACAAAGACAACACTAAACATAATGACAAAATGGGAGAGAAGGTGTAAATTCGCTGTGCCCTGCCCTCGTGTGAGATGGATGACTGCCTGGAGCTCCGAACTTCCTGGTGTACGTCCAGTCGCCTCTGTTCCCAGCACCAAACAACCAGAGGGCCAGCTGTGGTCAGCACTGAGCTTTGGGGAGCTTAATTCCTACAAGTCAACACACTGACTCCTGATCTGCCCGAGAGAGAGAGGCTGCCATGGCACATCCCCCACTAGGCGTGGCTAGAACCCAGGAGCAGACAGTATGGCCACTCAGAGGCTGGGGGCAGAAAGCAGCCAGGTGGCTCCCTCACCACACCAACTACACAAGGGAAAACAAAGGTCTTCGGTCTCGGAAGCAAGTGCCTCGGAGTGGTACAGAAACTGCCCTCCACGGAACAGCTCTAATCTTGGGCTGGTACTGTCCTTCCCTGGAGGCAATAACTCTCACCGTAGGTAATAATCAATCGCAGCAGAGAAAGCAGCAAAACCTCCACAACCAATGACCCCGGCCTTTAAGCCCGCTGTAAAGCAAACAGAAATGGCGTTACGTGTAGTGACGAACACAGTCCGCATTCAGGAGTCTGCCTGCCCCATGAATGCAGAAACCCATGGAAGCATTCGAAGTCATTCAACAAACCCATCAGATCCACAAGACTTCAACGAGCTGTGTATACAATCTACTCTAGTGTGCTTTATGTAAGTGTGCATTTGGCTTTTCTCCGAAGAATTACTATTTGCAGCTTCATGAAATAGCCCCTCACAGGCAGGAAACTGGTTAAGAGAACCAGCCCTTGGAAGCAAGTGAAAGCACACAGCCTGTTACCCTGATTTGTTTATGAAATAAATTCTTGGGAAGGTGATCAAAGCAGTCCCAGAGGGAGCCAGGCTTCTCAGAGTCCCTGACAAAGCGGAGCGATGGGAAGACCAGAGGAAAAGCTACTCTATAAATCACAAATGGCTGTCAGAGGAGCAAAAGCAGCTTTTAAGGACAGCAAATCATCCTGCCTCTCAGAGAATGAGAAAACAGGCTATTTGGGTAAATCAGGGCACGGCAGAGGGAAGAGTGGCCCAGCAATGGACACTGTGCAGAGTCCAGACACTGACACCCCATATCACACTCTTGATGGGCACGCCAACAGGGAGAAGTGCAGGGGACTGGTTTCTTTGTTGTTTACGGCTGACAACCTGACATTTGGCTTTCCATGGGTAGGAGTCTAAGAATCTTCAACATGAAAAGACATGACTGTATAACTTACATACAATATTAAAACTGACAGTTGTACAGTATTAACAAAAATATCTTAGCTACTTGAAATGCACAGAGCTGCGAGTTCAGCACGGCCTGCCGTTTGGAATAAGTGGGCTCTCGGGAGCTGAGTGAGACCTAGCCATGCTTCCGTACTTATCCTGCAGAGCAACACATTCCAGGAATTACTGGGAGGAAGTTCTTCCCATCTTTTCAATGTGAGCCCAGTTCTAAAATCTAGATCCTTCTGTGATTCTCAGCCATGGGTGATTTTGTCCCCTGGGGAAAATCTGGCAATGTCTAGAGACACTTTCAGTGATCAACTAAGGGATGCTACTAGCATCTAGTGGGTAGAGACCAGGGTTACTGCTAAACATCCTACAATGCAAAGGACAGCCCTACTCTCCCTCCAGCAAAGATTTACATGTCCAAAATGTCAATAGTGCCAAAGATGAAAAATCCTGATCTACACACTAGAAGTTTCCAAAATGAAGTTAATACAAAAGTAAATGTGATTTACTTCTCAGAGGGAAGAATATCAAGTGTCCACATATGCCTTGGGCTGTCCCTGAAACACTCATACATTTGGAAATGTTAACTATAGCATGTTGTCCGAAGCCACAAAGAAAACCATGTGAGAGTTGTTTACTAACCTCTGAAACCAATGGCTCCTCCAGTGATGCAGCCACTAATGACACTATTCTTCCAATCTGATTTTCCCCGGTACTGTGGGTGGAGAAGTGCAGTTTAGAGCCAAAGAAACAAGCCAGACAAGATGATTAAGGGGGAAAAAACACAGCGTTTCTAGCTGGCTAAATTAGTCCCTCCCCAAAGGAAACCTAATCTTCTTTGCTTTCGAAAGTATAGTTCCTAATTTGAATGTGTTCTTGGATGCTTCCTGAAGGTGGTATCAGAGTGCAGAAACCAAGCGTACAATTTGACAAGTAATCAAAATCTCTTTGGTTCTCCAATAAGTCCCATGGTTAAAATCATTAACCAACCTCTGGGGTGCCTGGGTGGCTCAACTGGTTAATCATTGGACTCTTGATTTGGGGTCAGGTCATCATCTCACAGTTCGTGAGACTGAGCCCAGCATCTCAATCTTGGGATTCTCTCTCTCTATGCCTCCCTCTCTCACACTCTCTCTCTCTCAAAAATAAATTAATTAAAAAAACAACTTAGGGGTGCCTGAGTGGCTCAGTCAGTTAAGTGTCTGACTTCGGCTCAGGTCATGATCTCACAGTTCATGAGTTTGAGCCCTGCATCAGACTCTGTGCTGACATCTGAGCCTGGAGGCTGAA